AGACGATGGAACTTGAACTGTGAATATCATAAAAACTTATGTTAGAATATGGTAATTGGATTTACAATTGATTAAATATTTATAAGTTACCAGGTATGTCTTGTTAAGTGAGTTTTGAACCCAATGCTCTACCTGGACTAAACAATCATGCCACATAGTTTAAACAGTTGTTTAACTTAAGTTTACAAACATAAATACATAAACGTTGTACCAACAATAAAACTATATTCTATTCCAACAATATTATTACAGTAATCTGGTTAATTTAACAACATTTAGAAACTACACACATAATACACATAATGCAATTATAACTAAATAAAGACACTTTAATCATTTAATTAGTTTTTTTTATAAAATAAGTTATTACTCTTTTTAAATTGATAACTTAAATTAAATTTTGAACCTTATGCTCTACCTGCACTGAACAATCATGCCACATAGTTTAAATAAGTTTACACACATAAATACATTAACTTTGAACCAACAATAACTATATTTTATTTGAACAATATAATTATTACAATAATCTAGTTAGTATTGAACACATTACAAATAATGCAATAATCTGGTTAATTTAACACAATTTGGACACAACACATATACCTACACATAATACAATTATAAAAAAATAATGACAGTTCAATTATTTCAATTGGTTTTTTTTTTAGAAAATAAGTTATTACTTTTTTTAAATAAATAATTTCAGTCAAGTATTGAGTCCTATGCAGGCTCTACCTGCACTAAACAATCATGCAACATAGTTTAAACAAGTTTACAGACATATATATTATGATGATTAGGTATTAATATTACTTTTCTGCAAATATAAAGTGGGTAGTGAACCCTTTTTTAGTTTTTTTGTCCCTGGGCTCTCACAACATTTGTCAAAATGCTTGTGACAAACCGCATAACGGCGTCGAATCACAGATTTATCTAATTCATAAAGTTTTGGGTTGTTACAACGCTCAACCCAAATTATGAAATCGCTGTCAGTTTGAGGGAACACATGTTTTCTATCGGTACTTTTACAATTTAAAACGCAACATTTTGAAGAAGGCATTTTTAATAATTGTAGAACACTGACAATACAAATTGAAAAGTAGAATTCAAATTTCACGTTAAGTTGAAAGTTCGTTAAAATTAAACAAAAATGTTTAAGAAGTGTAGATACTAGATAATAGAAATTCTGATATCATTACAATCAATGATAATACTGAAAGTATACTAAAAGTATAGAGCGCTACCGGAGGTACGATTTTGAACTACTAGTTTATACAGAACCATAACTACATCTATAGAGTTCGTCCCCCCTGACTCTATTATATTGTACCAAAAAAATAAACTTTTGTAGGTATTAAAATTGATATTCAAATAGATTTCCAAATAATTAGGTTCTTTACAGTTATATCTTATATTACTTAAAATATGTTTGTACAAAGAAAAACTACGTTCTGAAATGAAATATCCAGAAAGTACACAACTCAGGTTGATACTTTATGCAACACAAATACACAATATTTGATCAGATTTGAATCAAAATTCATCTTGTGTGCAAAGTGCAAACACAGGTGCAATGTCAATTAAAGTCGGTCTTTAGTTTTTGCTGTTGAGTTGCAGAATTTGCTAATTATTATTTATTTTTGGCTCTAGCAGACAGTGTGTTCACTGTTCAATGAAAACCTAGACAAAATGTATTAAACATTTTAATTAAAACTTACAAACTATTTAAATGGATCGCCTTTAAAATAATGTTTTTACGCTTCACTACAATGCTCCCAAAAATAATAATTTTTAATGTCATCATGACATTATCTCTAGTTTATTTTGGTGAAACAACATTTTCGATAACGTAAGAGGTTTTTCTGTAATAATTTTAGTTTGGGTATTTATTGAACACACCTCGTATTATAATCAAACGCATCAACATTCAACAGCCTAGTGTAAAATTAATTTAAGTAGCTTGTGAATATCGTAACTACATTGTAAGTCTCTAACCTTTATAATAGTGTACCAACAAAATATGTGAACAAAAAATTATTACGAAGTATGTGCTGCGAAATATATTTTATTAGATGAGACTGCATGTAGGCAGTAGGCACACTAGGCACCGAAATATTCTGCAGGTGATGTTATAGTTGCCGCTATGGATTTTGAGAACATTCTTATGAAATTAAACTCTATTTATCCTCGAAAATATTGAATAGCAATGGATATTGTTATACAATCGTATAAAATACCGATGAACTTTATTCAATTAAAAAATACAATTTTATATTTCACTGTGTATAATATAATATATATTTAGATTATAAAAATTAACCAACTATTTGAATGAAGATTTTGAGCAATAATTACTATAATCACAGTAACTATACTAATAAATAATAATTAGTATCTGATATTGTTGTGATAAAACATTTAAAATTGATTTACCTAACTGAATTATATCAAACAATGACTGTTTGAGACAATGTGCATTGTGCATGGTGCTGTAATAACTAAGCACAACAAAAATGTTCAATACACACACGACACGTTTATCGCTTGTAATGTGTTATTTCCATTGTTAATTCAGGCATATTTGTGTATTGCTTGTTAGTTATTACTAGAGCTAGGATTTTGCTGACCTCAATGACCTGCATTTTTTCTTTAAGGGGACTGCAGCACGCGTATTTTTTATACGTTTTAGACCAATAAGCGTGCTATTCAATTCTAACCAAAAATTAAATTTGTTTCGTGATACAACAATTTCGAATGCGTTTTTAGCATTTTTTGTGTTAAATGCATTTAATTGCATTTTTAAGCTCATTTTTACAAATATTACGTTCATTTTGTGTATTTCAATTAATTAATTTTTGTTTTTTTAAGTTTTTTTAATATATGTTGTATAGCCGCATAGATAATCACAATTAGTACCTATAGTACAGTATGTCAGTCGTCAGTATCTTATAAACATGGACACATAGTACCTTTCAACTTTCATCGACAACATACCATTAATCATATTATCATAATATTTATCGCTGTTATACCCTTTTTCGATAAAACTATTGTCACCTGTCGGCAAATCGGGAAAATTGAAACTTATATTAATAAAATAATATAAAAAATATTTAAAAACTGTTATATTTGTCGCAGAATTGGGATTCGGCAAAATGGGTATGAATCAAAAAAGTGAAATAATTAATGAAACTCACAAGTCAAAACTTCAGCAGGAAGATACAAGAAGAAAATTTACTAAGGAAGTAGGCAAAAAAACCAAACCAACCAGGGTCATGATGATAAGGATACGTTGAAAATACAATTTGTATATCTGTGGTACGTACTATGTAGTGGCGGTGAATCACGGTAAATAAAAAATAGGGAGTAAAAAGTCCCAGGAAAAGAGTTCCTGTTAAAAAAGTCGAAAGCATAAAAAGTCTGCAGTAGATAAGTCTTAAATCTTAATCCAAGGTTTACTTTATCCACACATTTAGATAACAATAGATAATTATTTACATCTGTGAGTCTGTGAGAATATTTTAATTCAGTTAATTCGTACGAACGGGATAGACTAAAAATAATATTTTCCTACTGCTTATTATTTACTACTTGTTCATACGCGGGACTTGCTTTACGAACGTCTTTGATCCTGATAACCGCTATCTCGACCCATGAAAAACCGTTATTTTATTCTTCAACGGTTTTCTTTTATTTACATTGTTGAATAATATTGTCCCCACTCTTTAGTCACCTTTTGCTTGGACCCAGACGGCCAGACTGTCAGCTCCAACGGACAAATCCCAATTCACCCCACATCCCTCGAAAAGAACCCCTTTTTGTTTTCGTTTTTGGCGCTCGATACCTTTATTACCATTCGAACGTCTTTTGGTTGTGGACTTGTGGTCTCGTAGAGTGTAGACCGCAATACGTTATTCAGATATTGTGTTTCGTGCCACTGCAATTAGACGGTTAATTTTATTGTAATAATTTTTTTTTCATTTCATATTAGGCGACAAGTGTGTATTTTTATTTCATCCTTTTTTAAACCTGTTAGCCGGTTTATTCTTCTATATTTATTTTATTTGTATCGGATTTACCTACTGCCTAGCCAATTCAATTATGTCGTTTGTGAAGAGTAAAATCAAGCGTTTTAACGAAGTCTCGAGTAAGTAACTAATTTATTACATAACGCCAAATTCTCAAATACATAGCAATTAGGAAAAACAATTTGAATAGGTAAGATAATACCGGGGAGAATGCTTACTTGATAAACAACATAAAAATCCTGCAATTAGATTTACCTATTGTTAAAATAACCTATTCCCAAATGTTTATTTATAAAATATGTTTGTTATTATTAGGTTGTGCACCACCACCTGGAACATATGATCCAAAAAGTCCATGTCCAAAACTTGTTAAAGGTTCTAAATTTGACAAAGCAGAAAGATTTAAAGAACCTTCTGTTCCACGAGTAAGTACAGTTTTGATTTTATTAATTTTGTATTATAAGGTGTTCGTTAGATTTTATATAAATAATAAATATTGGGGACTGGGGTCTTATGTGGGATCTACTGACTACCTTTTTATCTATGCTACTTAAAATAGTAGCATACTTATTAAAATAATAAAACGTTGCTTCTTAAGTTTATGCTGATACCTATTTGATTTTTGCATTGGGCGGTAACATGACCATTTTTCTTCTTTTATTTGGTGGTCTAATAGTAGAGATGCACCATTAACAGTTAAGTTGCAATTGTTCTTAAATAACTTCCGCAATGATCCTAATAATGAATATGAACTCCAATATTTGAATCCACAACATTTTCAGTATGATTCAGTTTGGTGAATACATTTATAGTCTCAGAGTTCTGTAATATGCTAGCCACTGATTGCTGTATTTCATTGTACCGATTTCCACTTCTCTTTTCATAATTGAAAAGAGAGTTTGTCAATATCTTTTGTTCTACCAAGAAAAATATCAGTCTTGTTGTCATGAAGAAAAGACAAATCAAGTACCCACTGAGTCTGCACTCGATTTCAATAATTCTGTTGGTTATTTTTTACTGAGCTTTGCTTAAAGTATTATTATATTAGGCTTAAACATGTTCTATCTACAACATTATCAACAATTACGGTTTGTCAGTAGATCACACCTTGAACGGGTCTTAAATATTGCCATTGACTATGGGTAACACCATTAATAATAAATATGCTTGGAAGTTTTAGAAGTTGTATATTATTCTTTATGCTTTTGATTTACATCAAAACAAGCTAGAAATATGATAATATTATTAATATTTATTATTTAATAGTATTTTTAAATTTACTAAAATAATAATAAATATTTGTTGATTACATATAGTTCTTTAATTTTACAAAATGTTTGTGTATGGATATAGTATATAGCTAAATATATATGGGTAAATGTACAATAATTTTCAAAATAAAATATATGGATAATATATTCAAAGGTATAGGTAGTATAATTAATACCTTATTTCATAACTATATCATTAAATTAATATTTGATGTATTTATATTTTAGACTGCCAAAAAACCAGTAAAAGTTCACTCAACGTTTAAAATTGCATCAAATTTCAGGTATGGTAGGATAAAAACCTAGTGTAATATATATATTTTTTTTTTCATGTGTCCCTTCCTAATTTGTTATACCTGAAGGTGGCTGATGCATATTTTTACTATAAAACAATTTGTGTATCTTCTATAAATTATTCTTAACATAAATGAATACATCTATTTTATTTTATTATTACTATTTGAAATTTGTTTGTATTTTAATTACAGTTCGCAAAGTTCAGTTTACACAGAATGTTCTAAAAAATCTAACACCACCACAGAATCTAACTCAACAAGAATTGGCTCAACGAAAATAAGAGCTAAACATCTTTTGGAATTAAAAAAACTAGATTCTAACCTTACTAAAGCTCTTGTTGACATTGAAAAACTAGATGATTCTAAAAGTACTACTGACACGTGTAAAGACTACATTAATACATGTCGCAGTGCTTGTTCAGAGGCATTGGAAAACCGTGTGTGTAGAATGGTCATTGAAAACTCCCAAGCTGCTTTATATGCAGTTTGCCAACGTTTACGCGAAACATGCAAACATAATGAGATTTTACAGAATGAAATTGCGCGTTTGCAAGAAGAAATTGGTGAAAAGAAATCCTTTGAAAAATTGGCCGCTGAACAAATAGCCATTGTTGAACATAAACTTACTGAAAAAGTTAATGATTATATGAAGATTTCTGAAGCAGTCAAAGATAATTGGTTAGCTAAAATGAGATATATTCTGGTTGCTTTGGATGAATTAGAATCTATGGTCGATGGTGAAGTAAAAGACATTATTCAAAAACTTAAACTGGATATAGAAAATACAGATCCAGAAGGTCCAAACTACAAACAACTTTTAGAGAAATATGAAAAGTAAACATTACATTTTTTTTTAAATTAATTAAATATGTAAAAATATATTATTGTTCTGTCTCCTTAGAACACGTGACAGAAACATTCAACTTGAAGAAATTGCTAAAAAACATGACGATTTGGAAAGAAAAATAATTGATTTGACAAATGTGAGTTGAATAATTTAGTTTGTAGGTGTTGTTTAAAAAATCTGAATTTTTTCTTGTTTTCCTAACAAGTAACAAACATATTTATGATTAGATCTAAATTCATAAGATAAATCGTAATTTTTTAAACTAATAATTAAAATTTAAAAAAATCAATGTAATTTTTGTATTCAAAATGTTTACAGGAAAAGAATGCGATGGCAGCTAAATTACAAATTAATCAACTAAAGACAAGTGGTTTATCAAAGAACCGTTTAGATGCTTTGGCCACACCTCGCAGACGTGTTGATGCTGAGAATATTGCTCCCAAAAACAAAACTTATGTACTTAAAAGTAATACTTTTAAAACTGTAAAACCAGTTGCTCAGTCTTCTCCACTGAGAGAAATGAACTGGTAATTTAGGTTTAAATGTATTATTTTAGATTAAATATTAATTATATCTTTCTTTTTTATTTTAAAATTTAATTTTAAGTTTTTATGTTTTTTTTTTTTTGTTCTTAGTATAGAATTAATGTTTGGTATTTGACTGATTAAAAGTAAATTGATTAAATATTGTTTTAATTTCCAATGTAAATAAATAACCATTTGAAATTTTCAACTCTGTTTAAATGAATGTTTTAATAACAATTATATGACGTACAAACTGACTCCATTTAATTGTAACTGATTATGAATATTAATTATTTCAAACTATTAACTTTGCCTAAAGATTTTTTGAAATAATGCAATTCTAACATTGTACCTTCCATTCATATGTATGTTATACAAACTACTATAAAATTAATTAATTAGTGACACCTATATTTTATACTGTTAAATCTTTTGTATTGACCACCTTAATCCCAATTAAATTATTTAAAAAATCAAAATTCCTTCCCTTGATAATTTTGTACCAAAATAAACAATACCTATCTATGAATTAATAATTAATATTAATTATTGACACTTGTGTTACATGTATAATAATATAACATTTTTTATTTTTAAACCTGAAAATAAAAAAAATATTTTACTGATGGTCAATTTTTTTATAAAATTTAAAATAGCTAATTTGTAAATCTGGTTTTTAGTAAGATATAAATATCGATTGTGAAAACATTGATTGAATGCATGTGGTTTATTTTTTACGATTTTTTTAATTATCCTTATCATAGAACGCGTTCACTGCCACACATATATTTCTAATCTGGTGCCACATGCCACGTATCTACGGATAACATACGCGGACAATAAAAGTATATGAAAAAACCGACTGAAAAGAAATTTGTTAATATATTCTAAATGGCCTGATAAATAATAAAGCAGTAGCCTTATGGCCAAATTATTATATGAGGGTATTTTCAATATGCACTGTAACGATCATGGATCGGCGGTGGACAGAAGAGCCCTACTACCAACGCTGATCCGTGATCGGCAGTGTAGGTGAATGTTTTAAACATAGTTGATCCAGTTGTAAAAAACTAGACTAAATGTGAAAATCAAATAATTTTTTTATTTCATATTTTGTATCAATTTGATAATTTCTTTTTAATAAGCTATCAGCAAACTTTTTAGCTATCATAGTTTAGGAGAAAAATTAAACAATAGACATTTTGGAACGTTTTTGTGTTAACAAATTGTTATACCACTTTGGTGTTATCAAATATCTTTCATTAATATTTTAATTAAAGCTAACTTAATTACCCAGTTACTCATTATTACTGAGTTACATTTTAATTATTTCCCTACTTAATTCAAATTCTTGAATTTTTCAAAATTCAGACTTTCATTTCAACTACCATACTAACTTGATTAAAAATTAAGAAAGTAAAATTATATTTATTAAATGCTTATATATTATATATATCTTCTTTATACCAATATACATTTCGATATTAAACAAACACAACACTTAAATATTTTTGGAAAACATTTATTTATTTATATAATTTACATTTTTTCTTTGATCTAGTCTGAGACCAAATCATTGACATTCAAAAGCTATTTTGATTTTTCTATCATTATTTTTGTTTAAAATATATTTGGAAATAAAATAATATTTTTTTTTTATTCAATAAATAAAACATGAAACTGTTTTTATATTAATAATACATATTTAATAATTTTACAGTATTATGTACATATAGTAATAAAATCGTTAAAAAAAAAAAATACGAGCACTTCATATGGATGAAGCGATGCAAAACAAAAACTTGTACATCAGTCACATTCATTTAAATCAAATTAGCAAAAGTTTTATGTACAATTTGTCAAACAATTATAAAACAATCACAACTTATTTAATAAGAATTCTCCTACTAGTTGAGCGTTCCACGGCAACAATGGGTTCCACACAAACATGGTATTTTGTTATCTTCGAGTGGGAATTTATAATCATAAGTTATTTCTTCATTTACACCGATTGGCTGCTTGCTATATATGACTATTTTCTTTTGTCCATCAATTTGAATTATCTTGGCATAACAATTAGGCTGCAATAAAAAAATATATTACTGAAAGATATTCAAGGCCATATTTGGTTTTAATTTTGTAATACTCTTTGAAAATGAAAGGTTTAAGAATATTATGCTGAAACGATAAGAGTTTCAGAGCTCATTATCTGTTTTCATTTTGACAAACACGCTACTTAGCAAATTTGTGTTCAGCGGGACCAATCTTCTATTTTTAGCCTTTAATATTAAAGAGTTGACCTTTTATCAAACTTGAAGTCTATAAGGTAGGTAACATATAAATGGCCTAGATTCTACTGACTACTAATTTGTTGTTGTGTGCATCAGGGGGGGGGGGGGAGAAACAAAATAATAGTGCTTTGACATTATCATAAAAGAAGAAAATTTAAATATTTTTTTTACATAAACATGCCAAATTTTTAAGAATTGCAATAACTTTAATGATTCACTGACAATAACTGGCCACAAAAAACTACTACAGGATAAAAATATTAACAAAAAAGAATATTCTTTACATTAAATTAGGTTCTGTTAATTTGCTGGGATAGCTTTTTTTAGATTCTGGGCAAAACATCAGGGCAAGAAAAATGTATTGATTTTGCAACTGTGTTATTTTTTTTTTTGACTGTAAACGATTAGTTGAAATAATGATTCAAAATTCAACTTGACTATCTTTTCCAGTGGAAAAGTGTAAATATTTGGTGAATTCATCAACAGGTTTAAAAATCACAATATTTTCCAGGGAAAACCAAAAAAAGAATTAAGTAAAAATCGAAATTTTTGATAAAATTGACATGGGTTTTTGGTGTAACCCAGAAAATAATTACCATTAATGGATACATGAAATTTTCACTGAATACATTTTAGATTAGCATTTTCTATACACCATGAAATGTTAAGGCATATGAAATTTTCAATTTTTATAAATTAATGTCATTAAAAAAATGTCTGCTCAGTCAAAAAACTTGAAAATGTAATACAAGATTCCTAGTAAAAGTTGTTGTAGGTGGATATTATGAAAACTTTTTATGTGCATCTGAATTTTGAATTACATATTGTAATTGCTGAGGCCTGATGCACGGTTGACGCTCTGAATTGAGGAATGGCAAATTCTACTAGGTGAAAAATTGATAAGACGACTGTATCACCGAAAACGAGGTCCTATCCACTGGGAGTGATAACCTAAACATTTTTTTTTTTTATATTAACTAAAATTTAATATTTATGTACACATCTGAAATTTATTGTTAAAGATCATTAATCGTTATAAGAAGAGCCTTCACGTGGTTTGAAAAAAAAAAAAATTGTAATTTATTTTTAAAATTGATTCTACTTATAGTAGAATGCTGTGATATGTTTGTGGTTTAAATAGGCAATAGTATACAATTAATCTGAATGTTTTGAAAATATTGTGTGTATAAAATATAATAAATAATAAGTTATGAAGGACATGCATTTTAAAGCTTGGTGTCCAAGCACATATTTTTCTATAAATATTGATAATAATATATATCATATATTATATATTAAATTTAATGTTTCAACGGTCATTCACTTCTGAATTAACACCAAATAAGAAAATCAATTTTGATAGGACTGTGATTGCATACAATTTCCAGTTTTTCACTATTTTTTTCCTCCTCTAATGATTAAGAAAATTCCAGGCAATTTTCTACTTTTGACCCTCCAAAGTAATTAACTAGATTCACATTTTTGCCAGAAAATCTTAACATTTTTACTGCTTCAAAAGGTATAACAAAGGACAGACATTATTGTAAGATTAATGCATTCTTCGCTCAGAATCTAAAATTCTGTTAAGATGTCTATCTACTATAGCAATCTATTAAACTTGATAAATTATATGATATTAAATAATGACTTAGAAAAATAGAAAGTTGAATAGATATTAAGCATATAATTGGTTACAAATTTTGTATTTAAATTGTATTATATTTTTATTAATTTGGTAATTTTTCAAGAAAGGAAAAACTCATTTTATGTTTCTAATTAGCTAAAATATTTTTGTTTGTATAATGTTTAAAATACTCACATTACAACTATGATTAATGAATCGTGCCAGATTACCACATTTGGTAGCATCAATAATAGTATCCAAATCTATTCTGAACAGATACGAACTACCTATTCCAGTAGCTTCATATTGTCTTTCACGTAGATCAGCAACTACAGGGCGAACCATTTGCCCTACATACTCGATAACCATTTCATCAGCTGCAATAGACTCCATAGCGAACAAACCCCAATCGTGAATAGCAGATTTTCCAAATTTCAATTGTTTCTTACGGAACTTTAACACATTGAATTTGAGCAAATCACTGTCTGATGTAGCCCCGAATGCTGTTAATAACCTTCTCTGGTTACTCCGTGCTTCACGAGAAAGAGCTAACATTTTGCCAGTAGATTCTTTTACACGTTTAAGCTCTGTGATACGATTTAATTGAGCAATTGTATGTCCAAAATGATACTAAAATAAAAATAAATCTATGTTAGAGTTAAGTAAACATTTTCATTATGTTTACTTTTGGTGAATTTACCCTTGTTTAAATTACAAAATAAATTGAGGTAAAAGCAATATTTACCTTATGGTTGGCTTTTTGTTTACTGTCCACTTTATAATAACCTTCAGTTCTACCACATCCCGTATCGTGAACTTTCCATTCATCTTTTTTCTTTTTGCGTGGAAGCTGATTTGGAACTGCTGTCAGTGTTAATAAGTAAAGGAAGACTTTAACTTGTTAATAAAAAAACTATATACAAAATTAAATTCATTTCTGTTTACTTCATTTACAATTTAAACCCATTTGTTAATCTTAACCTTTTAAAAGGCTAAAAAAAAATTCTGAACTATATTTTGTCTATTAAGAAAACATGCCACACACCTACCAAAATCAATTCTGCGCATCTCTACACGACTACTGATTTTGGTAGCAGGGTCATGTGCAGAATCGGCATGTTCTCTAAGTAAAAATTATTTCATATTAATATAATTTTCGAATAAAGACAGTAATTTCTAGCTTAAATATTAAATTTTATTTTTCTTTAATTATAATTTATAACTGTTTTTCCTTTTATTAAAAAATTAAAAGCATCAAAACACAATGATTAAGAAAGAATCCAAGTTTCAAAAAATAAATATGTAAATATATTAAGCAAAAGGAAGCGAGATCACTGAATGGTTTCT